TATTGTAGTTACTTTCAGACATAGTGATAATTTGCTTCACATCTGTAGGGGGTTTTGGACTATTTAACTTGTACCAGATCATAGGTACACTGCTCAAAAAAAAAAAAAAAAAAGGGGGGGGGGACAGTCCTATATTTCCCGATCTACTGGGCCGATTGACAAAATTCAAATTGCGTTCTTCATGTCTCGAAAGCGCGACTTAGGATATATATTAGATTTATATATAGCACTATTCTAACATAGGTATTTTGACACAAATCGGACTTTTTGAAAACATACCATTTTTTTACAATATTTCGATTCCAACGACTCAAATTACGCCTAAATATGAAATTTCGTAAATTTTTGGAGCGAAATTTACGGAAAATTCACAAATTTATGTTGGCACTTTTTTTGTCAGTTTGCGCCAAGATACTTCACTTGGCGAACTTCTTAATATATGGCAACCTAGTTTCCTTTCCCGTGAGAGGGAAAAAAGTCACCATCGTTCCTTTTTTCCAAATAATATTCTTTATATTATATTTTTAATTATAACTTATTATTTTAAGTAATTTTTTCTTTTTCGAATTTCATTTTAATTGTTAAGTTGCATGGTTTTTTTTTTTTTTTTTTTTTCCGAATAACTGTTTTTAAAAATTTCTATTTACCTATTCGAACTGCGTAAATAAAGGTGCAGCGTTCATTTTTTGTTTTCAAATACTTTTCTTTATATATATATTTTGTCGTAGTTATTATTTTAGGTAATTTTAAAATGTTTATTCTTTTATTTCAATTGTTTGTATTGCATTGTCTCTTCAGATAATTGTTTTAAAATTTTCTATTTTATTCCTTCGAACTGAGCATTTTAAATACATTATTAATATCAATTTTCCAGAATTTGATTTTATTTATTTTGAACTGCGTTTCTTTCGGAAGAATACTTTGTAACCCAGACTACGATGAGTTTGAAAACTGCATACTATATAAAAGAGAAAATACAGTAAAGCAACAGTTTTACACGCACGCCCTTCAATGTTCCATTCAGAAAAGATATATATAAATAAGAGAGATGTATAACCGACATTTTAACTTAGGATGACTTGCATACCTGCTTTAAACAGTTTTATCATTGTGCCCATAGCTTTACACAATTTTATCCTACATTTGGTTTCTTAAAATGTTATTCATATTTTTCGTCAAATATTTTATTTTTGAAATCGCAAGAATCAAATATCATAACATTGAAAAGTTTTAAATTAAAAAAATACAAATACTAAATTTTACGAAAAAATTTATTTTTCTTCTCTTTTTCTTTAAGCATTCTGAAAGTATTTAAAAAGTATCCAACTTTTCGAAACATTTTGGTATTTCTGACAATCATTTTAAATAAAGTTATTGCCTTCCATTTCATAAAGGCCCACAACGACCGAGCGGTAAAGACGCTGATCACAGTAGTTCGGTCCGAGGTTGAATCCCGCGAACAGGCTGGTTGCATGGGTGTTTTCTTGGTTTCCGGATGTGTAATTGTATACAAGCCAGTTTTCCCTAGAAAGTCCTCCACGAAGGCATCCCTCCCTTTAGGCAGATAGCCCTCGTGCTTTGCCATAATTAAATAATCCAATCCAATCCAATCCTTATTAAATATAATTGATTTGTAACTTCTGCTAGAACTGACGTTAAGAATTGAAGTGCAATAAATAATATCGTGTGCAATCTTGATTAATATAAAATTTAAAATATTTGCACAGAAAATATTTGCATTCAGACAGAAAGTTTTTTGAAATATTAGCGATTACTTTTTAAGAAGGATTTATTAATAACTGTTATAATTACTTATATTACTGATGATTAGAATTCAGTTCTTGACAATTACATTCTAAATTAGAATTTTATGAATTATTAGAATTTTAAATTAGAATAATGAAAATACGATACGCATAAAAATACATTTTAGGATAAAATATGAGTTGATTTTTATGTTTAAAAACTTCTTAAATTCATTTAATAAGCATCGTACCCTCGTTGTTAATTAAATCCAGAATTTGGGTGCCGTTTATATAATTATTCTTACTTGTCCACAGAACCTGCTGACCTATCCAGCGATTAAGTAGCTGCAGATCATTCCTACATAACCATTGAAATTGCATTAATTCGGTCTCTAGAGGGTTGTATGCTTATATCATAATTTGACTTTTATAAAAATGATTATTCTAAATCTTATGTTTCTATAAAATATACTGTGCTTTAAAAATATAGATGATAGTATCAGCCGCTCTTTCACAGCCACTTCAAAAGCATCAGTTTGTTTAGAAATATTGTGGCAGTTATGTCATAAATTCAAATAAACATCAAACGAAAATTCTCAGTTTTAGACAATTCGATTTAAACGAAGTAAAGTAGCAGACGATAAAACGCCGAAGGTAAAAATTTACTCTTCAAAAATTTACTCTTATTTAAAAAAAAAAAAAAAAGAAAAGAAAAGATAGAGAGAAATTAAAAAAAATATTAAAAAATTTATTAAAAAAAATAGCTTTTCATATAGTATTAATAAATATTTATTACGCATCATTGAGGGAAAAATGTCATATAATTAATTCTCCGTAAAATTTTACTTGAATTTCAGGTTAAAAATAGCTGTGGCAATACAGTGTAACAAAAATCCATAGACCACATTTGGCGTTATTATCGCTCAAAAAAAGATGCCAAATTTCAAAACGCGAAAATATGTAAATTTGTGTATATCTTAAAAAATTTTGAATAAAAAAGTCTAATTTTTTTGCAGATATGCTTAAAAATATACCTACTTTAAGATGATGGTAAAAATTTTATAGGTTATATTTCAAATTTTTTTTTGAAAAATTTATAAAATTATTTAAAAATAGAAAATTTAAAAATAAAACACAAAAAAATGGGTAAATTTTTATTTGGAATGTACCTAAATTTCGAAATGTGAGAGAAAAAATCAAAAAGTTTAATAAAAAAGAGATATAAATAAATATTGCCAAATTCAATTAATATTGAGGAGCTAAAATTTTGAGAGCTAATATTTCAAAAACTACTCATACGATTTTTACAAAACTTGTATTCTGGCATAATTTGAGTCGTAGAATCGAAATATGTAAAAAAATTGGTATGTTATTTCAGAAAAAGTCCGATTTTGTGTCAAAATACCTATGTTAGAATAGTGCTATATATAAATCTAATATATATTCTAAGTCGCGCTTTAGAGACATGAAGAACGCAATTTGAATTTCGTGAATCGCCCCAGTAGAACGGGAGATATAGCACTGTCCCTTTTTTTTTTTTTTTTTTTTTTTTTTTGAGCAGTGTACATTGTTGTTAGAAAAGATGCTTAAAGAGAAAGAAATCTATCTAAACTAGCTAAAATGTTTGAGAAAGCTTCAAATCAAAATGATGGATAAATATTTTGTTGAGTGTTATTGTTACAAAACACAAATGTTTTGTAGCTTTTAATGTGTAATTATTCTAATATCCTTTGATAATCAGTGTCATAAATTACATGTATTTTAAACTGTGAAATTTTATTAGATTTTGATTTTAATAGGGCTTTTTTTAAACAAATGTTGTTAAAAATAAAATTTAATAGTGGCCATGTAAATCCATAATGACTAAGGTTACCTATTTACCTAATTTAATTATTTATAACTAACTGCTTACCCTTAAAAATTATCTCTACATAATAAAACGAGTTATTGCTTTTTATTAATACTCACTGTGGTCTCAAAATAAAACACAAAAATGTAAAAATTCAAGTAAAACTTATTCTTTGCATCTAGTGAGACTTAAAATAAATACAAAACAACTTATCACCTCTGGTGCTTTAATGGCTTATTGGAACCTAATATTATATTAACTGGGTTGCAACCCCTGGAAGTCTACACAAAGCTATGACACTAACTACATCAAACAGAGTTGACTAACTTTCAACACTTGCCAACCGTGCCTACATCAAGCCTTTCAGGTTTGTTCTAACAAGGACATCTCCTCTAAACAAGCAGCAGTGGTAATAACATTAAGTCTTTTTTTATGAATAATGCTGATTATGATCTTCTCATTTTAACATATGACGTTTGACATAAAATCTACCTGCTATTTACTAAATCTCTAGACCAGTGGTTCTCAAACTTTGGACTAACGTGTACCATCTAAACAAAAATTGAAAACCTTTAGCACCACCACTACAAAGTACTACTGCCACCACCACACTTGAACAAAGCTCATATTGCATAAATTTACGAGTGTTAGAGAAAAAAACTCAATCAGGATGTTGGGGTTTTAATTTTTGAAATAAATAGTTAAAAATACTTTGCTTCTTTGTGTACCACCTATTTTTTGTGTACCACCTATTGTGTATCACCACCAGTGGTACGCATATCACCAATTGAGAACCTCTTCTCTAGACTGGCCAAGTATGTGACTAAATGAGACATAAAAAAAAATCAACATAAAGCTAAGTATTAATAAAACGTAAATGTCACTTATCTTCTTTCAAATATGTCCAACCTATTATAAGTGTAAAATATTTCATGCTACTTGATAAACTGAAGTTTATTTTATTCTCAAACTTATTGATAATTATGTTAATTAATTCATGTATAGTAATAATGCATACTACTTGGGGATCTATTTTATTTTTAGGATGGTATTACAAAAGTGAAATTCAGGCATAGAATAATATTTTTAATTGTATTTATTTAGTTCCCATTTGCTCATAGGTCATTAATTTTTTCATTAATGGTCCTTAAAAGTACTTAATTTCCGTGTGCAGAAATGTGTACGAACCCTGTTATATGTAACCCATTCCTTATGACACATTTTCATTGGAAGAGCGACAAGTTTTCCATAATCAAGAGCCATTCCTATTCATATATGTTTTAGAATTCACCATATATTTCTTAAATTAATTAGCTGTGTTTTCTTATTTCCTTTATTTTTTATGTATATTATACTAAATTAACTGTTTTGAAATAAATTCTTTATTTTTTAACTTGTTAATTTAGTTGACTTCCGAGATGAAGATCAACCTATAAATTTAGAAGATATAGAATACTTTTCACATTTGAATGATGACCAAAATCCAGAACATGCTGATAAGTGCAATAATCTGATGCATTCTTCAGTTATTGAAAAGGGAGAAAATATATGTGAAAATGAGTGTACCAGTAAGAAATTTTTCTTCACTTCTTCAAGGGTTTAACTGCTAATATTTATTTTTTATATTCATTTTGTATGAAATGTATGATTTATTAGTCTGTGATTAAACTAGTCAACATGTTTTAGTTAGGATAGGAGTTAAGGAGTTATACATAATTGTGTATATGTTTACAGGGCTGATATCTGAATTGGTATCAATTTTACACTATTTACTATAATTTTAATGATATGACATAGCTTTCATAATGTGCTAATTAAACTGATTGTATTTATATGCACAATACAAAAATTTTTTTATTTATATCCAATTAATATTAAAGCAATCACATATTAATATTAACATTTCTTAGTGTTAAATTTTAAATCTATTTGCTTTCTAATAAATTTTAAACTGTTTTGAATTTTATTTATATTCAATTAATATAAAGCAATCACATATTAGTATTTATTAACTTTTCATATCGTATTAGTGTTCAATAAATGAATGAAATGTAAATAAATTTTAATGTTTATACTTTTAATCACACTTAGGAACAGATATAAATAATTAATTACACATGGCATATTGCATAGCATAAAGTAATTACATTTTTCAAAAGCTAAATTTTAAATCTATTTGCTTTCTAATAAATTTGAAACTGTTTGGAATTTTCCTTCACATAAAATTAATTGATATATTAAAAAAAAAAAAAGGGGGGGGTCTTTTTAACATGCAAAAAAATATCTTTTTAATACTCTCCCAAGCGAAAGATTTACCATGAAAGTTCAGCTGAAGGTTCCAATCATTTATCATTTTGTGGATATATCTAGCTTCCTCTGCTGCAATCTTTCTTTTTTTCCCTTACTCTTTACGTAAATTACTAAAGCTTTAAAGCTTTTTGAAAGGCAGTCTAAGTAATCTTTGATATCAAATTATGCCATAGTTACTTTGATATTAAATTAGAGAACATGATTTTTACTTATTGAGATTAATATTGTGGCTTGTATTTTCCAGGAAGACTTTGGGCAGTTAAAACAGTTAAGTGTAAAATGTGAGACTTTATTGTAGCTGAATTTATGAACTGTGAACCTATGTTAAATTGTCTTATTTGTGGAACACTAAAAATCTCAGCTGTCAATTTTCTGTACATTAAATGTACTTGATAAATATCTTAAACATTAACTTTCTCTATCCAAGCTATTATTATATAAATTGTTTCATCAGCAATAATTTGATAATTAAGAGATGATTATAGTGAGATGATTTTGTATATGTGAAATAAAATTTGTGGAGCTAAAGTTTGTTCTCCAATTACCATATCTTTTCTCAAAAGCCACTCTTTTAAATCCAGTCATTTTGTTTTCCATGAAGTTTCAAAGACAAAAGAAGTATAGATACTTCATACAACTGTACTGTTAACCAAGAAATAAATTCATCATACTTAGGTTTTCTCACACTCATATTATTTTGGGTATTTACATATTAACACAACTACTTTGGCACAGTTTGCCAATTTTATACAGATGAAAAGTTATTGATGGTGCAAGTTGTTGGTTTTTGTGTCCTTTTTTAGAAAGTTTCTCAAATTTATCGATATTTATTATAAGTCGGTAAATATTATCAACATATGAAAAGAAAACTTATGAAAAAACACGTGAAAAGTTCATTTGGTATATGTCCGAGGATCTTGAATATGATGTATACTGAAGTACCACTGTTTTTGAAAAATTCTTGAATGGTCTTGCTGTTGTTCAGAAAATTTAGCATAGAATTTAAAAAGGACTATTTTTTATCTGGATTTCATGCACAGCACTCCGATATTCATTGACTGAATGATGAATATATAATTAGGATGATAGAATAAGATGGAGATGGTATCTTTTGCTAAAACTTTAAATGAAATATTTAAGCTGAATAGTTAGTTATAGGGCAATTTTTGCATCATACATTAAATCAACTGATTTCAAATGTTGCAGGGCCTCGAGCATAAAATGATTTTCAAACCAAACATTCTTTAATGTTTGATTCATCCATGCTCTTTTATTTGAAGGATAGATGATGGGGAAAGCTGGGAACTTTTTATGATTACAAAAAGTTTATATTTGTGACCTCCTGCAACATTTGTACATGCCAAAATGATCACTCTCGCTTTGGAATTTTTGAAATACTAGGGACGTTTTCTGCAGAAGTCACCAAGATATTTCAGGACCTATATTGCCTGAAAAAACTGTTTCATCAATGTTATAAATTTGTTTCAGAAATAACTTTTTGTTATTTATGAGTCTGATGTCATCTTCAAATTCTTCAGCTGCTTCAGTATCAGCTGAAGCATTTTCATTTGAATAATTCAATAGCCTTACATCATGCCATCTTTTAAATTTGGTTAACCAACCTGTTTATGTAGAATAAGTTTTTAAATCCATTTCCTCATGAAATAATTTAACTTGAGGCATTAGCATTGGACCTACCAATGACCCTCACTGTGATGCTTTCTCACCCATTCAGTCATCCCTTTGGCATGGCTGTTACTTTTACCATTGTTTCAGCATTATTTTACTCATTTAGTCATCAGCTGTCGTGATCATCACATTTAGAAATTTTTCTGTTATTCACTGCAAGTGGGGTATTGAATTAAGTGAAAAAAATCAATATTCCCCCCCCCTTTTTTTCATATAATGTTTGTTTTCCAATGGCATACTCCTCACACAGTTTTGAGACAGATATGCATTTGTGCAATTTTTTTTTTTTTGGCAGTAATTCCACTATTTGCTTGATTGACATTGAAACATGATCAGATCTTGCTGCAGCTTCAGATTGCCAAACTCTTTTCAGTATAATCAAAAATTCAAACTTTTATTTTGATAAGACAGCTAGCATAAAAGTAACCTGCAAAATAATAAGCTTGATAAGATTAGAAAGTTAAGGGAAAGTGTAATTTGCTATTTTAAGTTCAGAATCTAATTTCTTTCTCAGCCCCCCAATTTCTATGTAAACAAAAGCAAACCAGTAGGAGTTGCAAATAAATATGTATTAGGACTTGAAATATAGTTTAGGTCAGACAGAAAGTCTACCCTCTTTTATGACCTTTCAAGGGCTGAAAGTGTGTGTGTGACTAATTTTACTCAATAAAATAGCATTAGCTGTGGAGTGGTTCCTTATCCAGCAGGGGTTTGCAGGTGACATGTAGGAATCTCATTTAGTCAGGTAAAAAATCACTTTGATGGCACACTCACTTTTTGAGTCATAGACTGTGTAAGAAGAAAAAAAAATTTTTTTTCTCATATACAGCCAAAAGTCGTTAATTCGGACACTCGTAATCCGGAATGATCTATAATCCGGACCTAAAAGTTACAAACTTTCTGCGCATGTGTCGCGTTGACCTTATGTGTAAGACCTTTACGGCTGCGAATATGCTTGTGTGCGTGTGCAAAATACGTTTACGAGTGCGTGTTTAATGTATAATGGACGGTATAAGATAAGCTAAAATTATCTAATTATCTATTTCAGTTAATGTTGCAGATAGCGTTGTTCCTTAATCTTCAAATTGGATCTGGCTTATTATTTTTTGCAGACTGTTAGAGCAATTTTATAAAAGTAAGCTTGAACTTTCAATTATGTCAAATAGAATTTCTGATATATATTTACTAATATGTAAAGGATCTACAAAGCAAAAGTATGTTCGAAGTTCATTAAACAAAAAGTGGAATTGCTGCAAAAAAATGGATAAAGGCATATCCTTTGTTTATCTAAACTTTTTACGTTTGTTTATCTAAACTTTGTTTATCTTTAACGCTGCGGCGCGCAATGAATTGGAAGTTGATCTGTCAGCACTATCCTTATCTTCAGGGCAGATGTTTTATTTTATTTGACTTATAATTCCTTACTAAATGTAGTATTTCATCTTGATGTACTCCATCTTTGATATGATTTAAATCAAATTCCTCATCATGATAATTCACTTCCGATAGCGAAGAAAGTGACAGAGGTTATTGAAAACGAAAAAATTTCGATTGACAAAAAATTAGTCGGTAGCACAGCAATTATAGGACTTGAACAGCGGAACTTTGTAACTGAAGAAGAAATTATGTCTGTTTATAGAATTAATGAGAATGTATTATCACATAAAAAACGAAGCAACTTAAACAACTTACATTGAAAGAAATGTTTAATAAAGTAAACAAATAAATATTAAGCTTTTTTTTTGTAAATTTTGATACCCTTTAGATCATTAATTGCTCTTTATTTCATAAATTACAGTTTCATATTTTTAATTTTATAATTTCTGCATGCCATCTTACCAGATTTAAACTAATGATCTATAATCCGGAATCGCCGAAGTCGCGACGAGTCTGGATTAACGACTTTTGACTGTGTATATTTTTTTTATCCCAAAGGGAATGTTAGTCTAGAAGGGCTATTAGTCTGAAAGTGGCATTTTGCATCAAATCACTAAAAGCATTGAATCACTTTTTAAATTGTTGCCACCAAATATTATCACCCTATATTATATTTAAAGAAATTAAATGAAGAAGCTGCTTGGATGTATGTGTATGTTTCTTGCATTGTGAAAAAACTTGGGACCTAGAGCCATCAAATTTTGAATAATGTAGTCCTCCACCCTAATATGGGCACTCATATGCCTGAATTTGTTTTATTGTCTATTTCATATTTTGTAATTTATTTAATGAATTTTTATTAAAAAATTTTGGCTACTTTCCAGCCTTTACACACCTGTGTCAGTATCTGTCCTGCTTCCATTCTCCCAATTGCATACCTTTTCTCATTAACTGTCTCTATAACAACAGAAGATGTCAAATCCTTAAAATTAGAAACTGAAGCACCCCTTTGCACTCTTTTCCACATGTGCCAAAAAGATGGGAGCAAAAATTTGCATACTTTTGTGCAGTGAAGGCCAATCTCATCCTTCTTTATGTAGCTCAAGTTCAGATCTAACAAACTACTTCACTTGATAAAATTAACTTAAAGCATCTTTTGTAGCTGTTTTAATTTTCCTTGCCAATATATTTG